CAATCACTGTTTCTACCCCAAATGTGCGCACTATTGTAGGCATTACGATGAGCTTCCTTTCTTTCAGAGCTTTCCTGAGGAATTTTTTTCTTCACTGTCGAGTTACTCAATCCCTTGTTGTCTATATGGAACCCCCTAATCCACTATCTGAGATGGCGAATAATCGCGGGTTCTGCCTTTAAACGTGACCGGAACAATGTCCATCACCGCTGGTGAGTATGATCGTGATCGCAAATGAGTTAAATGAAGATCACTATCTCTGAGATGGCTAATTCTCAGAAAGCTGAAAAAAAAACTGAAAAGTGCACGATGACGTCACTTATCGTACTATGACTTACCCTAACGCGAGGAGGCTGCACGATTTCAATCTGATCATCGGTCGCATTCTGTTCACTTCCCGTCTCGGCTCGTCTCTTGTTCACGTAGTCGCTTCCATAGTGATTCAAAAACGAAATCGTTAGCGATGGGATGTCGATGTGAGCGGAACGAAGTCGACCACAGCCACACCTGAAAACTCACAGTTTAACTGTACGTTGGGAATACCAAACGCAGGGGCGTGGGTCGTGATTGTCCTGGGGAATTTCCTTCTGATATAAACGACTTTCTCATCTCACATGCGCTAAAGCGTCCCAAAACTAAACTATTTCTCATAGTTGCTTGTAGAGCAGCCCCACCCCTGCCTTCAGTCAGTCAAGTCGCATTATTTGTACGCGCCACAGCGACCGACCTCGCTCCACCGCTAATCGTTGGATCGTTACAAATGGTAACTAAAATGTATTCAGGATAAGGCTGATGCCGTTTGGGGGCTCCAGGAAAATTTCGTTCTTCGGCGTCATTTTCAAATCTGGTCTAAGTCACCAAATCCCTAAAAACTTATAATATAGGGGTAAGGCTGCGTTTATACTTTGCGGCAGCGTAGCGTAGCGTAGCGTAGCGTAGCGCTTCCAGCGTACGCCAGCGGCAGTGCCGAAGAGAGGATGCATATCGATCTAGCTTCACCAGCGTCACCAGCGGCACGCTGGCGTACGCTAGCGGCACGCTAGCGTACGCCAGCGTTTCTCCAGCGTTTCACCAGCGTTTTGCTAGCGTTTGCAGCGGCAGGGGGACAGGGACAGTAGGGAGGTTAGAGACTATGTGGCCGTGAGAGACGCGGAATCGACGTGTATTGTAGAGACCATGTGGCCGTCGGAGACGCAGAAGCGATGTGCATTGTAGAGACTATGGGCCGTCGGAGACGCAGAAGCGATGTGCATTGTAGAGACTATGTGGCCGTCGCAGACGCAGAAGCGATGTGCATTGTAGAGACTAAGGGCGAGTGAGAGACGCGCAATCGATGTGTTTTGTACCTCCAGCTCTCCCATAGTCTCTACTCCCCTGCCGCTGCAAACGCTAGCAAAACGCTAGTGAAACGCTGGAGAAACGCTGGCGTACGCTAGCGTGCGCTAGCGTACGCCAGCGTGCCGCTGGTGACGCTGGTGAAGCTAGATCGATATGCATCCTCTCTTCGGCACTGCCGCTGGCGTACGCTGGAAGCGCTACGCTACGCTGCCGCAAAGTATAAACGCAGCCTAATTCAACATCCTGATTTACAGTATGAACAATTCTTTGGCCAGCTGCGCCAAGAGCGGCTACCACTACGATTACCTCCTGGGCTTAGCCTTAGCAGAGCGCAGGTAAACCGTAGTGTCATCCATTAGCGCCAGCGCCAAAAATGAATGTCATATTCGTGATCAGGATGTTTACCCCTATATACAAGTTTTTAGCGGATTTGGTGATCTTGCCACTTTTAAAATGAGCTCGAAGACGAAATTTCTGGAGTCCAAACGGCATTAGCCACCCCTGCCTTCAGTCAGTCAAATCGCATTATTTGTACGCGCCACAGCGTCCGACCTCACTCCACCGCTAATCGTTGGATTGTTACAAATGGTAACTAAAATGTTATTTTCCACGTTTGATAAAAACCCCTTATTCCTTTGCGAACTTTTAAAGACCCAAAGCTCTCTAGGCGCAAATCAGTCGCGGTTTCGGAAGAAATCGCTCGAGTAGCGAGGTATGAATCACGCCTTACAGAGCCTTTTACTGATCCGAAACTGGATCCAAATGGTTTCAGAGGGTGTTATGTTAGAAGTCCGGAACAGATGTGGATAAAAGATTTTCAGACGGTTCGAGGAATAATATGAGTAGAACACAAGGAGTCCATTTCCCAATTCACGAAAAAAACAACAGTATTTCATTCCAACGCCCACTCATCATTTCTATCGCGAGGCCGAAATCCGTGGCGCACTCAGAGGGGAACTGACTGACTCCAGATCTAAGCAGTTCTACTTCATCTCTCGCTCTATGCCATTGTCAAAATGGCATGTGATGACATCAACCACATCTCCTTTTCTCCAAAACTACGGTTTTTTTTAGCGTAAGTTGCGTACATTTCGAGCCCGAAGATGCGGGGAAACCACTAGACATTTTGCTTCTCTATAAATACTAAAGGTGAGACGGGAATTTTTTTGAAAACAAATGACCACAAATATCAATCCGAAGGAACTGGAGGTAGATTTTAAAAATGGCTGAATGAACTGTACATTCAAATGCAGAACGTACTAACCATACAGGGCTTTATTCTCCACTAACTATAAGGGAAACTAGCATGAGGGCTTGGGGACAGATGCCAGTCGCAAAGGAATGGAAGGTTGATTGACCGGTAACGGCGGGCTGACCCATCCGGTGGGAAGGCGGTATTGCTAAAGGCGCGACCCTTCCTCTCGGAGCTTTCCTTGCCTGGATTCTCTGCGTATTGACCCCCCCCCCCACCTTCTCCATCCATCTGCCATACTCCTTTATTTCTCTAGGTATATTACCACCTTGAAACAAAGAAAAATCGAGAAGTCGGCAATCGCAAACAAAGAATCCTCTCAAGGCAAATATGACCTCCGCAGGGTCTGTTAATATGGGACCCATCTTCACTGGGAGATGCCTGACAAGGCAGTAATTATCATTCGTTGTTGCACAGGCTGATCAAAGCGTCCATCTGAATGCAATCTACTCTTGCAACGCACTATTACGCCTGGACTGCCTAGAAGAATTTATCAGCGTTCAGAGTATCATAAATTGTGTAAGCGGACATCAATCCAACTAAAGAATTTTCTGACTATTGATTTGCTTATCCCGTTTCAGGCTTACCACGTGTATCTTCCACTGCCGCTTGTCGCGAGGAACGGCGAAATTTTGAAAAGATGCGATAAGATAGATGCTGGAATGGGTGTGAAAGGCGGTCACATTCAGTGAACTTTTTACATAACGCGAGGCGCTGTTCGACTAAGTGGGGCGGGCATTTGGCACTTTTGCAGTTTCTTCAGGTCATGTCAACTACAGATCTCACCTTAGTGGAATCTGTGAACTCTTGTGAAGCAGAGAAACGGTAGAGGTGTATAGCTGTTACGGCTGAAAAGGTGGTGTTTGTTTTAAGCCTGAGGAGGCCCGAGTAACATTCCATAATAAATGCACGGGAAGCACAGGCAAGCGACCACGAGGAGCCCCGAAGAAAAGATGGAGGGACGTG